CATCTGTTCAAAATTTTCTATCCAGTCCCTTTGGTCAGGTACCTTGGTCAATGTATCAGATGTTACCAACTTTTCTAACTGATCAAATAGCTGCAAATCAAGGGTCTGATGCTTCATTATACAACTATGCTCTACCAAGATCTGCGGAGACAAAAAGCTGTATGAATTCAGAAAGAGTGAATCAAATGCTGGAACCAGGTTCTAGTCAAGGATCATTTCCAGTCATCTCACCAGAAGAAACCATTCGAAGATTCACATTAATGGGATCGAGAAATATGGATCGTATTAATCAGAAAAACACCCCAAGTTCTAGTATCGGAACTGGATTTCCTTCTCCACTTCACCAGGGTATAGATTTTGGTTTAAGCATTCCAAATCCAAGACAATTCAATCCACAAAATCTTCCACAGGAAACTGGCAAACCACTGGGTTTGAAGATGAATGGAGGAGCTGCTAAGGTCTCTGGTGGAAGCTATAACTTTTCAGAACATATTACTGCAAGTGGAAGCTATAACTTTTCAGAACATATTACTGCAAACAATCACCATAGCAATCCAAAATACAAGTCTGATGGCAGACTCTTGTCATATCAGATGCAAAACCTCAAAGACGGTCATCTTTTCCTACAGCAATAATTTTAGTTCGAGCAGTTGGAACAAAGTCCCTTGTCAAAACTATTTAGGCAACTAGATTTCAATTCCATGATATCCATCGAAAGTGTGATCTTCTTTTTTCTGTCGCCTTTGATCTATATAAACCTGAATTTGTTCATCTTTAAAAAACACTTATTCTCAAAGATAAAGAAAAGGAAAAAGTAACATTTAGTCCTTGAACTTCATAGTTTTTTCCTACTTGATCCATGAACTTGGATTTATGATCCTTTTGATGCACCAAAAATAATTTATAAATGACTTACAATAAAGGTTTATATCATCATTGATCGATCTATCCCTCCCTCTTCATCGATCGTATCATGTATACAAATTTTCTCTAGAATTCAAGCATATCCATTTTCCCCAACTTTGCATGTTTTTTCCAGAACAGACTTCAGATTTCTTGGCTGCACCTCCATCGTTAGTCCATATTTCATGAACAATGTTAGTGACATCTGCTCTACTCGGTGTCCAGCTGCCACGGTAAGTCGATGTCGGAGCAGCACCGCCGCAGCTATCGATTTCATCTGGAGATAAGCTAAGTCTTTCCCTAAACAAATTTGAGGTCTGGCATTGAACGAAACAAATCTATATGAATCTTTGGGCTCGAAGTTCTTGCCGTCTTTGGATAACCACCTTTCTGGTTTGAATTCCAAGCAATCTTCACCCCATATGAATTTCATTCGACCGATTGAATATATCGAGTATGTCACATTTGAGCCGGCAGGGACGAATGTCCCATTAGGCAAGAATCATCGCTATTACGTGCTTCGAGTCTTGTGGCACGGAAGGTAGAGTCTTAATGTCTCGGATAATGATGCCTTAAGGTATATCAATCGGTCAACTTCTTCAAACACAAGTGGTTCGTCTATCCATTTGGATTGTCGGCACCACGTGTCTTCATCAGAACGGATAATGCGGATTATTTCTTATGCTGAGAGCTTGGTTCCTATAAATGGAAGACAAGAGCATGAGGAAAGTATAATACGTCGGCAGCCGGAGGTGCATCAAATTGATATTGAACTCTTGGACGGGGAGCTACAACAAAAGAGATTAGATTTAATGGGACTTGGTTTCTTTGATATTTTCTTGTGATGTTATCAAATAATGTTATTGTTTGGATTGTATGTACATGTCCTACATTTTGACTTGTTTCAGTTTGCTTTTTGTTGTTTTAGTGGATGCACGAAATTACGTCATACTTATCTGCAGTTCCATTGACCTGCATATCAATTATCATGATTTGCAGGTGCATATATATGCCAGGCACGGAGTGCTTTTCGTACTTGAACTTTCTTCAGAGAGGTCAACGTCCCCAATGATTGAATGTAATTTGAAGCTGAACATGGGAACTATTATTATTATCTGTACTTTAGATCCAACGAAACAGTGACAATGGTTTGGTCCTGTTTTGTGTGAAGCCATTGTTAAGGGTATTTGCAGGGGTATATGGGTAGCACTACTTTCTTGAAAGCGTTTCCTTTGATGAATATTTCTGGAAATTGTTCTCCTTTTTCTTGCATATATATGTTAATTCACATGAGCTTCTGTGCGTGCTTATAAATAGTTGGCTTTCGTTTTGCATGTTTGTTTTTCCTATTTAAGAGTTGGAATTCCATACCATTTCCAATATTCAATATCTAAAATATATGATAATTTGAAATTTTCAAGGGGCAACTAATCGATTTATCCTTGGTTTGAATGATTCTCGTTGCCCGAAAGGGAAACTTCTAAGCTTAAACCTTAACAGTGCCATCGAGGGATGCACAGAATTAGTATTTCCTCAGAAAGCAAAACAAGTATGTTCCTCTGCTCATCATAGAGATTGGTTCAAAGAAAATTACTTAGGTGACAAGTTCCTTGCTACTTTCTAGTACAGCAGGTTTCAACTGAGAACTTGAAGCCATTGAATGAAAGGCATAAAACTTCATACGACAACAAGAAGCAGGATCCCAAGGCAATCATAAACAACAACAGTAATGGCAATTCACCACATCTTGGATAGGGCATTAATAGACTAAACAACAAAGGCAGCATCTTCCCATGAAATCTATAATATGAATTCAATCACCAATAACCAAATCTACAACTACAAACGAATTTTCTTTTTGTTCATGTCCTATTTACAGCAGCTATCAAACAATACATTATAATTTAAGAAATAGCTTACCGGATCTAGTTCTATCAACATTCTTCGATGCTACTAGTCTCAAAAGATCAAAACCCCTCATCGTCGAACCCTGCCAAATTTCAACGGCTTGCTGATCCTTACGAGTCACAAACATCTTGTTTCCACCTAATGCCAAGTTGGTTATCCTCAAGCCTCCTGTGTCCTTCACTCTCCCCATCAAATTCTTCCTAAAAACCCTTCCCTTTAATTGACCCTCACTGGCCTTCTCTGAACCCATCGTGACCTCCGACCACAACTCGATATCCCCTCCTTTACTGCAAAACACTTGATTTCCATGGCTCTCTATTTTGCATCCAAACCCTTCTTTCTTCTCATTAACAACCTTCCTTCTATCCCCAAGACAAATCCATGGATTACTATCATCATCTGCATCATTATTCACACTCCCTAAACGCCTCAAATCTGCATTAAAAACCTCCCCGGAATTCACTCCAACCTTGAAGAGCACACTCAAATTATCGGAAACACAAACATCGGCAAAGCAATCAACTTTCTCCTTCAAATCAAAGACCACATTACCAGACCTTATATCCCAAAACCTAATATTCCCTGTCACACCCGATAACCCGCTATGTGACCCGGATGCCATAAGTAATCCATAACTCGAAACCCATTTTAGCTTTGTAGCAGGGATGGCTGAATCAAGATCAGCCCCGAAAATCTCGCTATGCCCGATCTCAATAACAGGGTTCAAATTGTTCAAATCATAAACTAGGATAGAATTGGAGTTTCTCCTACTGGATTCAAAGCTGGTAAACAAGAACTCGCCTGATGAACCGATGGCTTGAACCGTGGAGCCAGACCGGGTCGAATTCTCCCAGTTGAGAACTTGTTTGACGCACCCTCCATGGAGGTCGAGAATCTGAAGCCCCGAAAAGTCTGTCGCCCCGGCCGCCGCGATATCCGGGGATAAAGCGAGTAAGAATCGACGGCTGTGAATTGGGTCAGAATCGTTGACTTTCTCGTCAGCGACCAATCGAAAGACGTGATCTTGCTACCGTGGGAAACATGCAAGGACCCAAGCGGCGTCGAGGCGATCGCGGAAGGGCAGTCACGGCCGTTTAAGGGCAATACGGACGACTTTTGGAGGGCAAAACCGTCGAACTGAGAAGGGTTGGTCAAAGAGCTGGTCAAGAGGGACTCAAGGCCATAGAATCTGGATTCTTCGATGAGGTCACGGAGGTCGAAATCCTTGACTTTGGAAGGAAGGGAACCGCTACGGAGGAGGGAGAGGAGGAGGGAAAAATGATCCGGGTCTCGGTCGACGAACCGGTCCGAACCCGTTCCCGCAATTTGAGAAAGGAGGGATTTAGGGCCGGCTTGGGTTAGGGTCTGCTTGGTGGTTTGGAAAATCTGGCCGCCGACGTTGATCGACACGACATTGCTGTTTAACTCCGGTTCTGTTTCCAAACTCTGCGTTGCAATCGATGACATGATTTTTCACCACCCAAAACTCTTGGAAAGGTATGAGAATGTTGGGTTTTTTGTTAGATTTTTTTATGGAAGACGTGGGCAAATAAGGGAATAAAAAGGGCGGAAGGGAGACTGATTGTTGAGGTGTTGTAGAAGGCGACAGAGTCTTGGTTTGATTTGGCGTAAGAGAGAGAAATGAGATCCCAGCTCCAGAATGCATATTCAACGTTAAATGAATGAACCTAAGCTGATTAACCGAGCCGTCAAACTCCGACCTGGGCAGACTTTTATGTTTGACCATCCATTTGGTTCATTTGTGGAACGCGAATGCTATTTAGAAGTATTTCTTCTATTAAGGAAAACATGGATGATTGTTTTTGATATTAGTGATTGTTGCTGGATATTAAAGTTCAAATTAAGACAAACTTTTATATTATGATTAAATTTTAAATTAAAGCGTATACATAGAACTTTTTTCAAAGCAAATTAGATTAATGAATGTAGTATGGATCTAAAAAAAAACATGCTGATAACTGAAATATCAGCACAAGTGCATAACTAGAAATTATCCCCGGAGCTAATATAATTCAATCAATTTGCAAATATCAGCATTCTAGACATTTACCACCATACAAAAATTTCACTTCCTTAACTGCAATTCTTTCATATTTTACATATATGCGGGCACAAATCAAAGACTTGGTATGATATCTATCTGCTTATATTGGAGATGTATACTTCAAACAACAAAAATATGCTTGAGACCTTGTTTCTTTTAGTCGGGAAGGACTCGAATACATTCCTCATGCAATACGTCATCTGAGTAAAAAAAAATAACATTAAAGCTACCTGTGATTTGGTTGATTAATTGTTCCCTGTTGCTGTTACTAAATTGTTTGGATCACCGACACCGCATCTAGTTCTTAAAACGACTTGAAAATCAGAAGGCATCTACTAAAATTCATACCGGTTAGCTAACTCCTGGCTGCATCATGGGGAAGAAAGACCAATTCTTGGCTACACTGTCGTTCTTTCCAGCTACCTTCTCATTCGCCCACCAATCAGAACTAACAATAGGCTTATGGGCATCAACTCCATCATCATTGTCAAAATTGAATTCTTTAGCTGACCCAAGTGTTGGGCATTGGTTCTCACGGTGGTGTGGTGTGCCTTCACCATCTGCTGGAGCTTTCTCTGGTCTTTCATTGGATGTTTCACCAACACGACATTCATGATCACCCACCATCTTAGTTGTATTATCTTCTCTTTCTCTTGTTGCTTCATTCTGTAGAGATTCTGACATGGCTTCAGATGGTGTTGCTGCCTCTGTTTCCACACTTCTTATAACTTCTCCGGTAGTCAAATCAAATGAGAGTCGATGATTAACTGCAACCTGATCAGTTGGGTTTTGTTTATCCACATGCGGATGTGATACAGTTTCAGAGACCTGTCTACCCAGAAGAAAACCACCGCGAGGTGTGGACGTTGTAGCATCTGGGGTTAAAGTCCCATAACCATGACATGATCCCCATTCACGGTTGGAAAGCTTATCAATGTCGAAGAGCTTGGGAGGATCACCCATCCGGAACTCGGGAAAGCGTAAACCGGCAGCAAAATCACAATCAGGGAAAGGAGATGATGTGCCAGAACCCGAGATTCCTGAACTTGGTGAGATCAATTGGCCAACTGGGCTCCCAGGTTGAAGCTGATAAGACTGAAATTCATAGTGGTATATGGGGAATCTCTGTCCAGCCTCTCCAAACTGGAAGTTGGGGCCAAGGAACTGAGCAAATGGCACCTCAGGTGAGGAAGGTGTAGTCAAGTGCATCGACTCGGGGGGAGGAGTGAAGGGAGCAGTTGATGGTTCAGTGGTGAAGGTTGAGAAAACAGGTGGTGAAACTAACTGAGTTTCATGAACATAAGGACCAATTGCAAATATAGAAGCAGGCCCTGGAGAGTACATACTAGCAGATATGGAGGTGAGAGACACTACACCAGCTGGAGACTGAGTAGCAGAGGGGGGTTCAGATGGAAGGAAAGAAGCAGGAGAGGAGGGTGGTGCAACAAAGGGAAGTGTCATGGCAGGTGCTTGGGTTGGAATTTCAGCAGCAGGCACATTAGCATGGGAAGCACTCGATTCAGAAACAGGAACAGCAGGTCCAATTCGCTTTTTTTGTTTGAAAGATCCAAAGCACCAATATTTGCTCCAGAAACCACCCCATCTTTTCTTCTGAACGTTAAGATAAAATGCATTATTACAGGAGATCGCACCAAATTCTTAGGTAGCTAGAAGAAATCAAATAAGTGACAGGTACGATTAATGAAAACTTTTGTTCTAAAAGACATAAAGCCATATTACAGCAAAAATACAACCAATCCTCATCGAACTTTTCCAAAGTGTATCAAGTAATGAAACATACTAAAGTATATAAGCTCAAAGGTTATTTGGCAGAAAGTATATGAGCTTGTGGCATCTTTTTCCATTTCAAAGCTTTTAACTTAGAAGATAACCCATTTAAATCTGCCCTTTTAACATCTAAGTTTGGGTCAAGGAGCAGAGGCACTTCCCACCCCTTGTTTAAGTATTCCGAACCTTTTCAACTAGACCTCCAGTACATGGAAATCTTACCTAGGGGCAGAACAAAGCAGTTTATTATTCAGAATCACTAGCCATCCACCTTGAATTTGGATGTTCTCATGATCTTAAGATTTACAGAAGTTTATACTTTTTCAAAATCCCAACAAATCTGAAACCATCTAATTAGCTATACCCATGTCATGGCCATATCAAAGATTCCCTAGTACAATTAGCAACTATATCTAAGTTCCACATTTTACAGTATCAGCTTGGCTCTACTCTTCTTTTGTTTCTTTTAGGAACTTCGCTTAATGAAAGTAAAACTCGAAATAAGGCATGAGGAAGATCATCTAAATGCAAGGTGTTTTCAGGGTAAATAAGGAACCAAAAATTATGATATATACTAATTAGCACTGTTTCATCAACAATGACTATTCTCAGATTATAGAACTGCCAAGTCCAAAAAATAAAAAACCTGTATGTTTTGAAGTACCAAAAAACAATTTATAAAAGCAAAAACTGCAACTTCTAAACCTAAGTATCCCTAAACACAAGCAACACTGAAAGGCTTTTGATTCAGGAACAAGTCAGCCTTCAATAAATCTAAGCCTAAAATCACAAGCATTTAACTTACCATTTGTTAAGCCAAAAAAAGGAGGCTAAATTTGATTAAAGATATAAGTTCACTAAATCAGCATATAATATAATCAAAGAACAAAAAGGGAAGAAATATAATATGCAAAAACATATCACGAAATGAATATCAAAGTAGCTTAAAACGTATCTGGAGCTCAACCAAATCGAAATAAATTCAATTAAAACAATCAAGTCAATGAAAACAACAGTATTAAACATACATAAAAAGGAAAATAAAATTTTTACCTGACCAGTATATTGTGGAACACGATTCTCAGCTGAAGCGATCGCGTTAGCAGCAGCATATATAGTCTCCGAAGGGCTATTCATAGCTCTAGATTCTCCATTAGCGCCCCTCATTTCTACTTCTTTTTTCTATTTTTTTTTTCTGGTGAGCCAAACAGCTCAAAACTATCTTCCTTTCGGAATTGTTAAATTTTCTCGAGAAAAAAAAAACGAGAGAGAAAATGTCAAGAAGGAAACTGTGATTTATAGAAGAAGCTTTCGTGGTGGAATCAAAAATGAAATATATATATCAAATCTTGGAACTCTTAAATCTAAATCTCACTTTCATATTTTTATAGAATTATATATTTTATCCGTGAATGTTAATGAAAATTTTTAGAAAAAATAACCTCAGCGACCGAAAATGTCTTATAATATACGATTTTAACCAATTTTATTTTGGATTTACCAAAATGACTAACAAAATCGCAATGTGATCTTAAATTCGCAACGCGAACTCTAATTTTTCAACTTAGTTTCTAAATTCGCAACGTGATTTTACGATAGTCCAAGTTCGCGTTGCGATTTTCCAAATTTACGTTAGTCCAAATTCGTTGCGATAGTCCAAGTTCACGTTGCGATAGTCGAAGTTCGCGTTGCGATTTTCCAAATTCGTTGCGATAGTCCAAGTTCACGTTGAGATAGCCGAAGTTCGCGTTGCGATAGTCTAAGTTCAGGTTCGAAGTTCGCGTTGCGATTTTCCAAATTCGTTGCGATAGTCGAAGTTCGCGTTGCGATTTTCTAAATTCGTTGCGATAGTCGAAGTTCATGTTCAAAGTTCGCGTTGCGATTTTTCAAATTCGTTGCGATAGTCGAAGTTCACGTTGCGATTTTCCAAATTCGTTGCGATAGTCTTCTAAAATCGCAACGACCGGTGGTATTGCATTTGTTTCTTAAGAATTTTATCTAAAAAGATAGTATCCGCGCGGACGTGTCGAATACACGTATTACCACGACCACGACCCGACCTGAGACGGGACGGGACGGCGGCGGCGGCGACGGTGTTCGAGAGTCCCACTTGTTCTCTTCCACTCAACAAGGAAGTGGGAAATCCAAGCCTTAAATACTCATTCCCAATAGTGTTTCTAATACTATGTGGGATTGAGCATTGCCAACACTTGGGAATCTTTTACACTATCGCAACACATTCTTTATTGTTTCAAACTAAGATCTTACAAATGGCTTGGGAATCTTATACACTATCACAACACATTCTTTATTGTTTCAAACTCCACGTGAATTTGGAATAGTTAAAATGTAAACTTATTTTGGATTTTTCATTATCGCAACACTTTTTCACTATCACAACAACACGTTTTTCAAGCTCTCGCAACACATTTTAACTATCGCAACACATTTTTCAAAATCGAGTTGCAAATCGGGATATTCGCGTTACGAATTTGAAAACTGAGTTGAAAAATTAGAGTTCGCGTTGCGATTTTGTTGGTCATTTTAGAAAATCCAAAAAAAACTGGTTAAAATCATATATTATAAGGCATTTTCGGTCACTGAGGTTATTTTCTCAAATTTTTATTGTAAATAATTGATCGATTAATTCTGTTGTACGACAGTCTTAATATACAACTAAAAAAATATATTATCGGAAATGTTAATATTTTTTAATATTTTTTATAAAGCGTTACTTAAAATATTATTTTTTATCGGAAATGTTAATTTCGCTACTTAATTTTCGGTAGAAAAAAATAATATTTTAGGTTGCGTCCAATATTAACATTTCCGGTATAAAAAATAATGTTTTAGGTAAGGCTTTACCGGAAATGTTAAACATTTTAGGTAGCATCAAATATTAACATTTTCGATAGAAAAAATAATATTTTAGATAGTATTTTACCGAAAATATTAAAAAGATATTAATATTTTCGACATCGTATTTTCCTAACTATATATTATGTTTTTTTTGTTGAAAAGGAAAAAAGGCCGCCTAACTTCTCGTCTTGTCCTCTATCAGCAGCTCCTCAGCTTCCTTGGGGTACTCTTTCAGAAAGTTGGTGTCTTCATGGTGCTTCCACATCTGTTTTGTGATTAAATCTGCTACGCGATTTGCCTCTCTAGGTATATGTTTCAGATCAACTTCCCAGTTTCTTTCAAGTAATTTTCCAATATGCTGCAGAATCGTAAGTTTCCTGTGCTCGATCGATTTGCTCTTGATCTGATTCAAAAATAACTTTCCTTTCTCCCCTCATCCAAGCAATTCTCAAGCCTTCGTAAATGCCCCATAGTTCTGCTTCCAAAATAGAGCAAATCCATATTTTTTTCCTAAAACCCCAAATCCAGTTTCCATTACAGTCTCTAGCAACAACCCCACAACTAGTATCTCCCGTATTATATCTTCTGGCTCAATCCGTATTGATTTTACAGTAGTTAATCGCTGGTTTTTGCCATCCAATTCTGTCTTTATCTCTGCTTTGTAATCTGGTAGTATTGGTAGGAATCAGATTTTGTACCTCAAGGGTTAGCCTTTTAGCTTGTTGGACAATCGATTCCCTCTCAATCATCTCTGGGTCAAAAATGATTTGATTTCTTCTCTTCCATGTGTACCATAAAACCGAACTGAAGAATATAGGCCAGTTTTCAATTCTTGTTGATGGGGACTGGGTTGTTTGGAGGTTTTCCACAATCCAAGCCTTAAGGTTACAGCTTAGGAAATTGTTTATCTTTTGGGGGTCTATCAAATCTGTCCAAATTGATAACTTCTTAGGACAGTATCTTAGAATATGATTGATGTCTTCTGTTTCATAGTGGCATATAGGGCAACTTTCTTCCAAATACATATGTCTTCTCGCTCTTTTTGAATTGGTTAATAAGTTGTTTCTTCCAATCAACCATAGAAAGGTATTGACTCTGGGAATGTTTTTTAGGCTTGCAATGATTTCCCAAAACTTTTCTTCCATATTGCTGTTGAAATTAGCTATCCAGTTGTAAGTCGATCTAACAGTGAAAATCTTTTTCTCAGAAAGGATCCATCCCGGTGAATCTTCAATACTTTCTTCAGCTGGGGGAAGTGTGGCTCTGAGCATGTTAATAGCTTGATTAGGCAGAAGCGTTGTAAGTTTTCCCCAATCCTAGTTGCCATGTTGGTTGATCATGTCCTTAACTTTAGTCATGTCATTTTCTACATCAATCGGTCGATTACAGAGTCTAGATAAAGGGCCTTTGTTGTCAACCCATATATCATGCCAGAATTTAACCTGGTTGCCATTTCCAATATTCTAGCAAATGTTTTGTTTGAATTTAGACCAAACTGAACATATGTGTTTCCATAGAGGTGATCCTCCTCTTTTCCCCAGTTCTTCATGGAGAGTATCTTGTATCTTGTACTTGCTTCTCATAACCTGCACCCATAAAAGATCAGTACGAGTAGTTAGTTTGTAGGCTAGTTTAAAAATAAATGCCTCATTTTAAATTCTTAGATTTTCACGCCTTGACCCCCTCCTTTGATCGGTTTACAGAGGTTCTCCCAATTGACAAGGTGAATTCCCTTCTGATCATTTGTATTTCCCCAAATGAAGTTTCTTGTATGTTTTTCAAGTTCCTTGCATGTTCTTTTGGGAAGTAAAATCGATTGCATGGTATATACAGGGATCGAATTTATGACAGATTTGGCTAGGATAATTCTTCCAGCTAATGATAAGGATCTGGCTTTCCAACCTGAGAGTCTATCTTTGACTTTTTGAGTGATGCTGTTGTAAGTGCATTTATTGATCCTGTTGTGAAAAAGAGGAACACACAGGTACTTTCCAAGATTCTCTACTTCTTTGATGCTAATTAAATTTGTTAAACTATTCCTGGTTTGTGCATTGACATTCTTTGAGTAATAGATGTTGGATTTTTGGAATCCAATTTTCTGCCCAGAGCTAATGCAGAAATTATTGAGAGTGTTCTGGATTAGTCCAATTTGGTTGATGTCAGCTTTTGCAAAGAGGATGAGATCATCTGCAAAAAATAGGTGAGATAAGTCAGGACCATTTCTAGATAGATTAATGGGTTTCCACTTTCCTTGCTTAACCAATAAGGCAATTTCCTGAGCCAATCTTTCCATACATATGACAAACAGATACAGTGAGATAGGATCCCCTTGTCTAATGCCCCGAGAAGGTTTAAACGGTTCAGTAAGTTCACCATTCCAATTAATTTGAATAGACATTGATGTAATGCAATTCATAATGGCCACTATGATTTTATTGGGCATACCCATCTTCTCAATGCTCTCTTTTATAAAAGACCAATCTAATCTGTCGTAGGCTTTTTCTAGGTCTAACTTGATGGCCAACCAACCTATTTTACCTTTCTTCTTTTTCATCGATTGAATCACTTTTTGAGCTAACACAATATTGTCAATAATAACTCTTCCCGGGATGAAGCTCGTTTGGCTATTCGAAATCATAGTAGGGAGAATAGGCTTGAGTCTATTGACAATGACTTTCGTAATAATTTTGTTGGTCACTTGGCAAAGACTAATTGGTCTAAACTGGTTAATTCTCTCGGGTTTTTCAACCTTAGGCAGAAGAACCATACTAGTTCTATTAAGGGCTTCATTAATCTGACCACCATTCAGACAATGTTTGACTAACGAGCAAACTTTCCCCCCGACAATTTCCCAATTATTCTGAAAGAAAATAGCATGGAAGCCATCAACACCAGGCGCTTTAAGAGGACCCATACTGAATAGAGCTTCTTTTATTTCATTATTATCAAACAGTCTGTTCAGCCAGTTCCATTGATCATGGTTCAAACTAAGAAAAAGCCTATTGTTTTCAAGTGAACGTCTGACTGTTGGGTCCTTAGTGTACAAATTCTCATAGAACTCATTGACATGAGTTTTGAGCATATCTTGATCTTTACACCATGTATCAGAATCTGTTTTGAGGGTAGTTATAAGTTTTCTTCTACCTTTAGTGATTACATAGGAATGGAAGTATTTGGTGTTTTTGTCTCCATAATTAATCCACTTGCATTTCGCCCTCTGAGCCCACATCAGTTCTTCATGTCTTAAAATGGTGTCAAGTTCAGCTTTGAGATCATATTCGAGAGCTGTCAAAAATTCAGAATTATATCTACGTAAAGCTTTATCAATACCCTTCAATCTAGCAAGAATTCTTTTCTTTTTTTGGTTGATGCTACCAAATATTTCTTTGTTCCAAGTTTTAATACTCTGTTTGACAAGGTCGAGACTATCCATAAGACTTTTCTTTTTGGCCCATTCATCTTTAAGGAACTGTTCAAATTCAGGGTGTTCCAACCAAGCTGCCACAAATCTAAACGGTTTATTCTTATTTTCATCAGGGTTGTTATAAGTACAGATTAAAATAGGACAGTGGTCAGAACCAATTCTGTCAAGGTGAAGAATTCTAGTGTCTGAGAACAGATCAAGCCACTTTATATTCATAATGCACCTATCAAGACGTTACCAAAGATTACCTCGCCTCCAAGTAAAGTCATCCCCTTGGTAACTGACTTCTAATAATTCATTGTTGAAAATAAAATCCTGGAAGTTTTTACTCCCTCCTCTGAAATGACAACTTCCACCAATTCTTTCTTCATCTCTCAAAATGCAATTGAAGTCCCCTCCTAGGATCCAGGGTTCATCATTACTGGGTTTCAGATTATCCAGGAGATCCCATAATTTACCTCGAATGATAGGATTGGGAATAGCATAAACAGTTGTAAGGTAGTTTCAACTGATGTTGTTCAAACCTTTAAAACAAACATGAACATCCTGATTAAAAATGCTCAAAATTTTTACTTTAAATAGTTATCCCAAATCACCCAGATACCACTACTGTGGCCCCGAGCTTCAACTCTAAAAGTATTATTAAAACCCATGTTATTGATGATTCTATCAGCTTTAGTGCCACTTGTATGAGTTTTCATAAGAGCAATAATCTTAAGCTTGTGCTTATTCACACAATCATTGAAATGTCTTCTAAAAGTGGGTTTAACTACACCTTGAGTATTCCAGAACAAGATATTCATAAACAAAGAGACTAGGGACAGTTACTTTGTGTCTGCTCCTTTTCTTTATGTTCTATTTCTTGCAATTTGCTCTGATCAACATGAACAAACATTTGGTTCTGGCTTTCAGTAGGAGTGGTATTATCAGGAGGGGCTAAATTCTCAGAAATAGAAGAATTATCTTGGTTCCATTCCGAAAGTAAAGGAATGTTAGGGTTGATAGAAGTTTTGGATTTTCTAATTTTAAGGCCTTTGTTTGTAATGCGAGAGATCAGATTAGGCTTTCTGTTGAAATGCCATATAGATGTGGGTTTTTGGTTGTTATTGTCTTCTTGAATGGTTATTGCAGTATGTGAGCTATTTCCCACAGAAAATTGTGTTCTTTTATAAGGGCGCCTTCCTTTGCCATGACTTGTATTCTAGTTAAATTCCGTTCCTTGGGTTGATCCTTATCAGCTGTCATTCCTCCTTCAGTTATTGGTACATCGATTAATGAAGTAATTCCAAATTCAGGGATAGTAGTAACATTACTCTTCTGGGTTTGGTCAGTAACTTCTTCTGCTATGTTTACCATGCCATTATTTCTCATATTTCCTCTATTTCTTGTTATGATATTCTTCTGATTCACTGGAGTAGTCATTTTAGTAGCATGTTTTGTATATCAGCTTCCATGTTTATCAGATATTTTCCTTTGTTTTTATCACTAGTGCCTTCCTCCAATAGTTCCTCACAAAGAGGGGTAAATCTGGAACCTTTGTTTGATATTTCTTCTGCTTCTTTGTTTTTAAACTGAGATCTTTGATTTCTATTGAATCTTCCTCTTGGTTGAACAACCATCCAAGGGCCTAAAGGGTTATCCTTGCTGCTTTCAGTATTTGACTGTTCTTCGATTCCATTATCGGTGTTGCTAGTTTTCATCTGTTTGTCTTCTTGGTTAATCTGACAGGATTCTTTTGCATGCTCATAGGTACCACATTTGAAGCAGATTTGTTGGAGACCTTCATATTCGATATTTTGGATAAAATCATCTATTCCCACACATAGAATAAAAGGTTTGTTTAAGTCAATCACAATCGCAATTCTAGCAAACTTGCCTCTTTCTCCAACTTTGGTATTATAATCTATTTTGATGACTTTTCCAATAATATTCGCAATAGTCCTGATTAGAACATTATTATAGTACCTGTAGGGTAAACCGGGAAGTCTCACCCAGGCGATAACATGAGAATTATGCTTTTCAGTAGTGGGAAAGTTTCTAGACCAATGTTGCACTGTCAGGTAACTTCCATAGGTCATCCAGGGGCCCTCCGTGAGAACTCTCGTATAATCTTTAAGATTTTCAAATTTCACTAGAAAGTAGTCATTATCGAGATCAATCAAGTTGAAGTTACCTAACGGTCTCCATAAAGCATGTATCCTGTAAACCAGCGCCTTATAACCTATCTTTTTTCCCAGTAATCTGGTGATGATAACTTGCTTCATATTTATGTCAATCAATTCATGGATACGGTTAGAGAAACTTATTTTAGGATAGTCACCCGATAAATCCATAGCAACATCTCCTTCTTGATAAACTATTTCTTCTTCTGGCATCATGACAGGTGGATTCTTGTTCATCGACGATCCTCTAGCAGCCATCTCAGCATAAGTGGTCATCGTCGAGCTATTGGGACGTTCTTTGGTTGCATTAACATTATCTTGGGTCTCATCCTCTGTTTGCATACTGTCCGTTGTTTGGGAGTTTTCAGGATCGTCCACTATTCTTTCACGATTCTTTACTTTCTTTGTGGCTCTCTGTTCTTCTTGTTCTCTGCCTTCTGTTTGCATGTCGTCTAACCCTTAACTATATATTATGTTTGTCGTACTTTAGACATCCCTAATTGATCTTGTATAAAATGCAAAGCAAAGACTATCGAGGTCAAACACGACAATCACCAAGTTTTCTAAGATTTCGACGTGATTAACGAAAAAGACCCGAACTTAGGTCAGGTTCATAAATTGCCCGAGGTTTAGCTCTATTTACTTAAACGCCCTTTCGTTCACATCCTATATATTATTATGATTGTTAATTTTTGAGGCTTAATTATAATATATGATAAGCTAATTATTACTTTAAAATTTCATCATACGCATATTCTTGTAAAATGAATTAAAAAATATTTATTACTTTGTTTATTTAATAAAATATTTTATAGAAACAATCATAAAATACAGAGAAGATAGGTGTAAAATTTAATTGTTATATTAATGTTGGTAGGGAGGTGAAATCAGATGTAATAAAGTGGTTGTGGAGGGTGTGCACGTGTGGGCATCCACGTGTTGATTGGGTTTCGTGCGCTACCGCATATAATAAATTAAGTAATAAAGAAAAGGATCCATCTAGTAATTTTTCCATCCAAAGACTTCCTCGAAAATTCGACCCTTTTACCTGCCACTTCGACCAACTCCCCCTCGGTCCCCACCACCATTAGTCCATTAGGGATGGGCACCGATAAGGTTAAATTAATTTTTCAATCAATTCGACTCGATTTAAAAATATGTATTATCTATCTGAAATTTAATTTGATCTGAGTTTAACGATGACTTCATCTGATACAAATTCGATCAAACTTTTAAAATCAAATCTAAATATGATTTGACCCAACTCGAAATATAACATTATTGGTAGTAAAGATCAATTATTAATTTAATTTTTTTTAAACCATATATATTTTTTATTATTCATTTAATTATCCAAAATAAAGAATAATTCAATCGCATTAAAATTTTAATTATTAATTAAGAGAGGTGCACATATAACTGGAAAGCCAAATGCCATCCTTTTTGACCAACAATAACATCGTCGTCTTCATCATCTTATGTTGTAAAGCATGGCTTTCAAGAAGTTGTGTTATTAAGTTTCTTTATTTTTTGTCATACTTATTTCCTAATTATTGAAATTGGAACTTTTAAGTCGACATTTTAGGTCAAGAAAAAGGATGGCATCACAATCACAATCATATTTTTAGCTAAGTCCCTAATTACGTGTGGTGTTAAGGGTTAAAAGAATAATTATTTCATCTCTAAATAAAGTATATAAAATAAAGGGTTAGTACTCTCTTGTAAAGATTACTTTTCAAAATGCGCTTAAATGTAATTCTTTAGAGTATTTAAATATATTCTTTCAAACATATAATCATTAAGTAAACGAAGAAAAAATTAATATATATATTGTCACTATTGTTTGACTTGTAAAATTATTGACTGAGACATGTATATTTATAGAATTTTTATACAGTAATATTCTTACAATTTCACCGTTACATGGACATAAAAATATATTTGACGTGATTTACTTTTACCATCGCGACATAAAAGAAATAATAATCTTAAAAATAATTTGAAATAAATGTTAATCTAAAAAATAATTATTGTTGGAATGATATTTTAATAAATAAGAAAAACCCACAAAGGGGAAGGGGTGAAGATGAAGATAGGACCTGATACCTAACTTGGGCAAAGAGAAAGAGACTTGGGGCAGAAGAACAAGAAAATGGATGACTTTGAAATGGTCATAGTCATAGATGGTGGACACGTGCTATTCGCCATGTGCCGAAATAAAACGACGGCCGATTCAATCAGGGGTAGTATTGTATATCTGGGGGGTTTAGATGACCGTTGACCTAAGCTCCCCTTTCCTCGGCTTTCGTAGGCCATCAAAAATAATAATATTTTACTAATAATTGTATTTAATTTATTAATCGATTATTTAAATCAAATATTATAAAATTTAATTTATTTCATTCATAATCGATTTAAACTTTTGACATTACTTAAAAAAAAATCTAATTTCTTATTCTACTAAAGTAACTGGTTGGTTGTTGGTAGAAATAGTAACTCTCTTTTAACATCGTGCCGTGACTTGGTGCCTGCGTCAGGTCATGCCCTTTGAGGCTGAGAAACGGTCCAAATCTTGGAACGTGACATCTGTATGCGAATATTCTTCTCACGAAGCCGAAACGTGTCATGTCTTTATAACTAAAATACAAAAGTATTCGATATTTTTCTTGAAGAAACACATTAATTACGTTAATTTCGTTTAGTAGCGTATTTAAATCAGTAAATATAATATAGTTTTGGGTCTGTCGTGTAAAAGTCAATAAGCTGAGGTTTCATCGTCAAGGCAAATCATGTTATGTTAGACTGAGAAAGAGAATCAACACTGGTAGGTAATGACAAACGAGAAATGAGCCGACAAAATTAAATATTCGTGATCTTATGTGATCAAAAACCAATGCCCTCACGCAGAATTGAACTACGGACCTTCAGTTTACAAGACTGACGCTCTACTGCTGAGCTATAAGGGCCTGCTTGCTGATAGAAATATAGTTCATATCCTTTAACTAGTTCATTACCACTATGAAGGTACAATGAAGAAACACAACATTTTGGGGCACAAGATTCCGTTGGCAATGTAATTCGAACTTTTTAAGCACTATATTTTAATCTTTATTATTCTCGAATTAGTGTAATTAGTTAATCAAGAATTAATTTTTATAATCATCTAGTCTAATAAAATGAGATATAGTCAAGTTCAAATCATGATACTATAGATAAGCTAAGTTGGAACTATAATCTCACAATAAATCATGATACTACGTGTTCAAATTAATCAATTAATAAATTAATTATATCGATAGTGAAATCAAATAACAATTAAGAAATTATTATATTGCCCCATATCTAAAACGAGCTTAATTATCTTTTCGAATTAGGTTCTAATAATATTTTTGTCTTAAACCTCCCATATTTTAAATGAACTTTCGGACTTTGCAGGTAGTTTGGTCTTTGAACTTGTCTGTCTAAATTGAACACAAGATTAGTGAATTTGTATACAAATCATTAATCACTTCACTATGGATGTAATAAAACCACTAAAAACATAGCAGACATGATAATCTGTACATTTTTGAAAATTATATGTTCATATAAAATTTGATTAGTTAATAATCATTTTATATCAATTGTAATGAATTCATGTATGAATTTTAATAGGTTCGTTACCTTTTTTCAGGTGAAAAAAAGTTGAGACGTTAGTCCATACATCAAATTTTTACATAAAGATGAACCCGGAGAACATTTTCCGGCTATCAAACACAGGAAAACATTTTCCGGCTATCAAACACAGGAAAATGAGAAAAACATTTTTCGAAAATATTTTTCAGCTATCAAACACACTCTAAACTTAATTACAAGCAGCCAAACCTGAGTCCAGCACCAGGAAACTAATCAGTGGGTAACTCAAATATCATTTCCTGCATCAGAACCTTCTTGTTATCTCCTTGGTTATGTACAATAGTTCCTGTTGACTTATAAGAGATGAAAATAGTTTCAAGACAAACCTTATAACACACAGGACATGTCTCACTTCTTTCCATCCATTCAAGAATACACGCAAGATGAAAATGATGTTCGCATTTTGTGATAATTTTTGGATTTTCTGCATCATATTCTGCAGGAAAGAACAGTAAAAAAAAGTTGGGCAGTAACAAAAACACACCTTTTTTGCAGTGAGACTGAGAAGTTTATAATTTGCAAGGGAAAGACATACCTTCCAAACAGGTTGGACAACAATCTTCGTCCTCCATTGTAGACTCAATTGCTTCAGCTGGGTTTGAAAGTTCTACTTCTAGCCCCTTTGATGACTCATGTTCAGTAGTAGCTTGTGCGTTGCAGTCCAATTCCTTTGCATCCTCAGATTTTATAGAAGTTTTTTGAGTACTGACAGCAACCGTTTCTTGACAGGAACCAATATTTGTTGCTTGCACTGCTTCATTCCTTACTGTTATGAATTCCTTGGGCAGATGAAGGAGTTTGAGGATGTACAAAATCTGAATCGAATGGAACTGGAGGAACTGATACCTCCAGATTTGTGTCAACCAACAGCCCGGAGGAGAGGGCAGAGGCAGTAGCATTGCGAGAAGACAAAGGCACATGACTATCGGAGGCTCTTGGGTTCTGTTAAAAAAGGAAGTTCAACTCAACAAAGATGATGAAAAGGATTTCAATATGATAAACAATTTGTTCAACATAGTTGTCTCCTATGGTAATCTTTGGATAAATATTTAAGTTATCCATTTATCATAATAATGAGTATGAAAGTAGACAGGTCAACAAGAAGATCTAGTACTCATTTTTTTCAGTACCATAAGGAAAGATAAAAATGAAAAGGCCCCAGCATTTCAGCACATTTAAGACATCTTGATCCTCTCAAGTGCACAAGAGAGTTCAGTTTATCTTCTTTTTCAGTCAAATCATACATTCACCCTAAATTTTGCATTGTGGCAGTTAATAAAATACGTAGTACTCTACACTGAACTTGAGGTGAGCTGAAGCCAAATTCAGGACATACCAACTCAATTGCACCATGAAAATGAGGTTGAGAAACTAGGCTGAAAAAGAAAATAAAAGCAAAAAATGGAGAAAACAATTCCATGGAGGAAGAAATTGTACTAACATAATAATATGCCGGTGCACTATTTCCAACTCCTCTAGAAGAGCAACAACAGCAACAACCCCCCATTCCTTTTACTTACGCATATAACAGTACTAGTGCTTCGTACATTAGAATTCCACACATCACAAGGAGAGAAATCTGTTACAAGAAAAACACTAAATCACTCTTGCAGATATGAAAAGCAAACTATTTCATTCAGTAAACCATATTCATGCAAAATGCCACATGAAAATGAGAAAAATATTGTAGATACAAAAAAGTTAGAAGCAGTTAGATGTACCACACCCGTATACAAACACATAATTTCTGATAGATAGTTCCTGAAAATTAATGAACAGCATGAAGTTTTCCGAGCAAAAGTAAATCCGAAAAGAAAGTGGCAATTACTTATGGCTTCTCACTCACACTTGCCATAAACAAGCAAACCAATAATAGAATACACAGACATGAGACAATAGCCCAAACCAAAGTCAAACTGCCTGGTAGTCTTTACATCACATACTACAAGCATTCCTATATTCTGAAAATCTAATAGCAGAATTGTATATGTAAAAACAAAAGCAACAGTCATTACTAATTGTCAAACACAAACACCATTAGAAACTTCCCCCTCCCACTCTGTTCAATTGTCCTTTTATAATTCCATATCCAGGCTTTCAGGTTTCAGCAGGAATTCATCAAAACAGACCAATCAAGTCAACTGAAAACCAAACCAGATTCTGATAACATGACAAAGTAAAAGAGTAGGAGCTCTGTAACAATCAAGGATTGTCTGAATCTCAAATTTCTAGTCAAAGCACAATTTCTTTAGACGAGGTTTAATTGATCTATGTGGTGAAACAATAACGAGATATAAAACAGGTAAATACAGTAAGAAATCAGTCAAGAATCAATCGCCTTCAGTTCTCTTCATCATCTAGCACCTAAAAAAATTAATCAATATCAAACTAGCATGGAAACAATCAAAACGATAAGTAAATAGAGAAACTGCCAAATAATCTAAACAAACAAAATCAATATCCTACGCAAAACCTATAACCACAACACAAACAACTAAATTTCATAACGTTGAGAAAATAAAATCAACTTCTTCTTAGTAAAACACTAGGGATAATCATAATTTAATCAATAAACAATAAGCCAAATTCCAAAAGAAGAAGAAGAAAAAGGATATGCAATCACCTGTGGATTGAAACTTCAACCGAAAATGAATTCTATAATTTTCCAGGTGAAAATTCAATGATAAAATAAAGTTTTGTAATTCATTTTTGATTGGTTGGCTTTGTTTCGTGTATGAAAAGGATTTTCAGTAAGAATGGAAGACTTTCCAAATTCCAAGCCTCCATTTAAATATAGATTCCACTATTTACCGTTGGTATAGTGGGACAAAACACTAAGTGCCTTAAGCAAGGTTAGTAGTTCGAATCAGCATTTGAGAATTAAGCAAACTAGGTTGAAAGATCGTCCTCGCTTCTGCAGTATCTGATCTGGATTAATTAGTCAATAATAGGATACCAGTGATTAATTAAAAAAAATCCACTATTTACAGAATTTCATAGAAATGCTGTTTCTGGATTTTCCCTCCACACGCCAAGCTCTATCGTTTATACCACGCGCCATCATTAAGAGAATTATTTTAACAAAATCCGGTAAAAAGATAGCGGTTGTTTGGCGATGGCAGTTGGAATCCGCCAGGAAACAAACATTGAAATTTATCTTCAAATAAAATTAAGAAAATCATATTTTAATGTTTTTCTTATTTTATTTATTTTATATTTTTTCTTAAAAAATCACCATATCTAATTGCCAAAAAAAAAGTTCAGGGCATGTCATTAACATAAACATTCAAGATAGATGAGATAGAAGGGCGGCACTATAATGATCACACATTCATTCATCTATGGTATCACCATACAAGGAATGCCCTCCTACACAGTCATAACTAGGGCTTCTTCTTCCATATGGATAAACATTCGTCTCTCATCTACGATAACCACCGCCATCACCAGACAAGGTGTGCCCTTTGCGCCTCCTATACAAGTCATAATCATCACTTCTCTTACCATATGGAGAACGAGAACGGGATCTTCCTTGTCTACCCTTGAATGATAGTCTCTATCATTTCATCGAGGTGAGTAGCTACAAGATCGTCTATGACCTTGTCCTTCATATGTTTGGCAAGTTGATCACCATATAAGAATAAATGACAAGATGATAATTTAAAACTTTAACAAGCTCAAAGTATCAAGGAAAAATAACTCGAAAACGTCATAAAGAACTTCCAGAAAACGCAAGAGAAACAATGATACTAGTATCTACCTCTTTTGTCTCGCAAGCCTGATACCGGCCAGGTGTTGGTGTTCTTCCTCGAGACCTTTTTGCCAGCATTGTTTGGACAAAAATAATTTAAAACATGGTCAGATAAAGCAAGCCGTTGATATACTCGAACTAATTATTATTGCCATAACATGCAAAATTTGAAACTTTCTGCACTATTAATGTTGTCTACATAAATTGTATAGAAATATGCAAGGGGTTTCCACAACCAACGAGAAATTCTAAAATATTAAACGAGCCTGAAAGCCTCACGTTGTTAGGCAAGAATTTTAAATGACGTCTGACGGATCTTTTAAACCAATCTTTACTGTGATGAATAAGATAAGATATTCACCTTCAAAGAACAGGCATGAAAAGACCAAAACGTGATGAAATGTGTATGTCAGGACTCAGGAGGGTATTTCAAAAATCACAAATAATAAACAGCTTCTCCAGATACTGCTACTGGTGTAGAAATGGAAAAAAGGGGATGCAACCGTTAGCAAAATACTCGAGTTTGAATCCATGAGTTTGGAATGTCGATGCGGAACTCCGGTCGTGCGAGGGTACAGGTTGAACTGTTAAGAGCTTAGTTTCGATGAAGCTACACATACAAGACCTGCTGCCAAAATTTATCAGGCAAAACTTCTGAAGAAAGCAATATTTAAGATGAAATTCCTCGAATGATTTAGCTTCACTATAAACTAGCAACTAGATCCTTTGTATGAATTAATACCTTTTCCAAAGTGATTAATCAACCTTCAAATACTGAACGATTCAAATACTTGATGCAGTGTTCTGCACCCTCGACAGTTTCCATGGTCACAAAAGCAAATCCACGAAATTCTTTGGTGTGTGGATCTGTGACTAGATGGCACTCCACAACCTGGAACAAAATCTCGTGATATAATTCCAGAGACGAATCACCACAACAACCTAGACCCACTTATAATCCTAAGGCGACTCTTGTTAGAACAATTTATACCTTCCTATTATCATGAAAGTTTTACAAAGGCGAAGGAAAGAACAATTTACGCTCTTGAGCTTGACATAAACATAGTGAAGGTCCATACTGCAACTTTCATCGCAATACCAACAGAAATAGAAGCACTTGAACGAACAAAGCATGTTATGTTATCACCATAAAATATCACTTTATACCTTCATTGCCGAAATACTTCTCAATATCACCGGCGGTAACTCTTGTGGATAAGCCAGTAACATATAAGTTATTTCCTGGATTGGCTGCATCCTGATAGTCGCAACTCCTGGAACGATAAAAACTAAATCACCACAATTGATTTGAACTGCTAAAAAACCAGATAAAACATGATACTGATATGCTAAATGAACCGATATACTAAGATAAACAAATAACTAAGCTCTTATATAGCTAGACCTGGAACGACTCCTTCGGGACTTTGGCTGACGTCCTCTTCCCGGAGAAACTGGCCTGAAAGTGACAGTTTGAAGGAAAACTCAATTTACTTACATTGAAAGAAAATCCTTTAAGAAAAACTTCCCTTCCTTCCCTTGAATATGACATTTGCCAATACAGCCAAAAGAAAATCAATTTTTTCAAAACATTAAAAATATACACTCCTTACCTCGCTAATTTCAAACATTCCTATATTTCTTTTCATTATTTTCTTCACTGTCATGCATTTTCGCAGGCCGCAGCAACCAAACATTGTAATTTCAGCCTTTCAAGTTATAAAATGCATATATTCATGATTTCCATTAAAATTTGCATAAAATGTAGGAGTTTTGCCTCTTGAATTTTATAGTATAACATACAAAAATATTGAAATCATAACGCAGATTCACAGTCATAAAAACACTGAAAATAGGGTAAATTTAATTCTAGAAAAAAATGATATTTTACTAAACTGGTGAGGCTTTAAACAGTCAAAATAAAAAAGGAATCGGGAATAAAAAATTGAAGATTTACCTTTTATGCTTAGAGAATTTGCCTGAGTCCACTCAGATGCCCCAACTCGGAAATGGATGGTCTATGCTATAAGATAAAGCGGGAATCAATGAGACAATGAATGGTTGAGTTGAACATAGGGTAAAATACACAAATGGTCCCCCATTATAGGGTACTATTTCGTTGAGTTCTCTTACTTTTAAAAATTATAAAATAATCTTTTGATATAGAGTACTATTTTATTAGTCCATCGACTATTAAAAGTTACAAAATAATCATCCAACTATTTATTTGTTCTAAACTCGTCATTTTCTATTAAAAATGATGATCATTTGAGTTGGACGTTAACACGCTAATTAAGGTGTGGTAAAATTTATTTTCATAACTATTTGAGATGTATTTTGTATATCACTTCTCCATTTATATTATGTCGTCTACTCAGTGCTTAAAATATTATGCTATCTAGCTAGTGTTTTGAAGCATCAACCGTGTTAGTAGACATCATTAAAATATGATTTTATCATATCCCAATAGGTAGTTCATAGAGGTTCGAGCACCAGCGACTGTAGCATGGTGATTGAGCGCACATCCTCAAATAATTGAGAATATTTAAATCAAATATTAATAAGAGAAATAAAGTATGCTTATTGAGTTTAACTCAATATTGTTATAATGAGATTGTAATTGAATAATAACTCGAGCACCAACGATGTAACAGAGAGATTGAATAATAACATGAACCTGAAGTTGAATCGTCAATACAATTTAGGGTGTTCCAAGTAATATAATTGAGATTATTTTATCTTAATGTTTCCTACTATTTTAGCTCGATAATCTTATAGAACAATTTGTTTGATTTATTCTCAATAATAAGTTAAATACTAATAGATAAAATACATCAAAATATCGTTTACTTATATTTAAATATTTTTTTAATCATTAATCCTGCAGAAGTTATAAAATAATTATAAAATTTAACAAACTCTTACCCTCATTATAATATTATCAGAATCATTTCGTAACAGTTCGATTAATTTCACAATTATTTTTTAATTTTTAAAAATTAAAAACTAAAATAATTATATAAACATAATAATTTGGTATATATATATATATATATATATATAACAATTATCTTTTTTTTAAGTATTGATTTGGCATCACCATGATTGATCAAGATCTTTCCTGCTATGGACCATTAGATTGGATTTGAATACATGATTTACGTTTTGTGGATAGTTTTTCACGTCGCTCGAGTCTGATTAACGGTTTGTCGGTTTTAATGTTTCCTTGGATGGTTCTTATGTGATCTTACGTTACTAGTTTGTTTTAATGATCATAGAAATTTTTTCCAATTATATACTTAATTTACGTTGTAATTATAAAATTTTCATTATAATTTGGGATATTTCTTATTTTAAATAAAGTTTGAGTTATTAGAGTAAACATAAATTTGAAATAAAGCAAATAAAATCCTTGAAATTGAATCAATAATGTATATATTAAATAAGAATAACCATAATCGTTTTGATATTTTCCCTTTCATACATATTGCTAATTCAACGGCATTAAATGTAAACCTTAAATGATTAAATTTCGTAAAAGAACCCCTTTTTAACAGTGATTATTAGATCAGGTAAAATCAATTAAAAAATAATTAAATTAATTAGTTTATAAGTATTATTTTATTATTTAATTTTTATTCTTTTAATTTAAGCAGCACAAATCAAATGAAATTGACAAAATTAAAGCGAAAACACCCTTAATTTGTATTTTATTCCACGTTTTGTCGGGCTTCGCGCTCCGGTCTGGATTGGAACTCTATTTCCTTTTAAGGACAGTCTGTTCCCAGTCTTGTTGACTTGGTTTTTAAGATAAATTTTGACTTACAGAAGTCTTTCTTATTCTTCGAAAGACGTTTCCCTTCCATCTCTCTTATTTTCTCCGGTAGTGGTTTTGGGTTTCAGAGATCATGGCGTCGCAAGAATACATGGACAAGATGCAGCTCCGCCAGAACTACCGAAATCTCTGGCACACCGATCTCATGGGCACCATTCAACAAGATGCCCCTTGTAATTATTCTTTCTAGTTTTTTTTTTAAAAAAAATTGATTGATTAGTTTTTATTTTCTCTCACTCTCTTTTTTTGTTGTTGCAGATTGCTGCTTGGCTTTTTGGTGGTAAGTGGTTCCGAATCTTTTATTTGTTCATTTCGGTGTTGTAGATCTGATTCGGACTCTCCTGAAATCTGCGTTTATGATTTTGTTTGTTTGTTTAATTTAGTTTAGTTTAGTTAGCGGGAATAAGATTATAAGGGTCCTTTGATGGTTTAGGGTTTAAAAGTTGAGACTTTGGTGACTGGAGTGAGTGACCTAGGGTTGACTGACTCTGCCTGATTTTCATGTTTCTGCTCTGAATTGGATCCTAAAACGTTTTTCCTCACATCGTCTTTCGCATATACTCACCTCTGGATTTTGTTCTCACCTCTTTTTGTCATGTTTAACTGCTAATTGATGTGCAGTGTTGTAGGTATGTAGATGACTTTTCTCCTTCCCTTGACGTTTTAGAACCATCTGAATTTCTATCACAGATTCATTGTTGTTTTTGTTTTACTGCAGTGGACCATGTGTATCCTATATGCTCCGGAAACGAGCGCTATATAATGACATGTCAAGGCAATTCCTCCATTTGATCCCTCTTTGATTACAAGTTGATGAAATGATATCCCGGCTTAACTGTCGTTTTATTTTTGTTGTAGGTATACATGTTGCGCTGGTTATATGCCATGCAGTGGTAGGTGTGGAGAACGTAAATGTCCTGAGCTTTGCCTTTTCACTGAGGTAGGATTATGAAGTTTGTCTATATGGTCTCTATTGCTATTTTTTTGTCACTTCGACTTGCATCTTAATTTATAAGCTTGCAAGTTCGATTCTCAACTCCAACATTAGTAGAGATGATGAGATTGACCTGCATGAACAATCCTATATGATTTCAAAGATAATCATGTTTAATTTTGAAGAATTTGCAAAAGATCTAGCGCTGGGTAAAAAAAATCTTTAGCTGATGTCTATAGGAAAAAAAGCATGTTGTGCTATGTGGAAACTGGGAAAGGAGAGGGTAGAAAGGACATTGCATTATTTTAGAAAGCGTGTTGTCAAAATTGTCTACAGAGCCTATTTCATGTTAAGTTATCCTAATTTTCGTAAGAGGCAGATAACATTTTGTGTGGCTCTCTTTCAGAATATTTTTTTAAGTTGGTGTAGCTGTTCTAGTGATCTTCCATACGTATCTTGTTATTAAGTTCATTATCATTTGTTTCTCAATTCCAGGTTTTCCTCTGCTTTGGAAACTCGGTGGCTTCAACCCGATTTTTGTTGCAAGATGAATTCAATATTCAAACAACAAAATGTGACAATTGCATTATCGTAATCTATCCCTTTCTCCATCCAATGCATCTTAATTACGTTTGCACTCATTGGTCATTGATTAACATATCATCACATGATGTTTAGGGTTTCATGTTTTGCCTGCAACAAATTGCCTGCATATTTTCCATAGTTGCAATGATTGTTGGGAGTGGTGAGATTCAAGATGCAGCACAGTTACTGAACTGTTTGGCCGATATGGTTTATTGCACGTTAAGTATTCTGTTCCATTCACCCCACTCATCTGAAGCTATTTTTTCCTAAAGATGGTACACTGACGATTCGGTTTTATTTTCCTTTGCAGGGTCTGTGCTTGTATGCAGGTAAGAAGAGTTTCAAAACAAGCAAATGGACATTTTTGTTATCCTTATTCTGGAACGTTTCTTAAATTTTCTTTGATTACAGACACAACATAAGATCGAAATGGACAAACGAGATGGCAAGTTCGGTCCGCAACCAATGGCAATACCCCCTGTTCAGCAGATGTCTCGCCTTGATCAAGCAATTCCTCCTGCAGTTGGATATCCACCACCAGCATATGGACAGCCTTATCCACCACCTCAAGGGTACCCCCCATCTGCATATCCTCCTGCTCAGTACCCTCCTCCTGGTTACCCACCTTCTGGTTATTCCAGGTGATCCAAAATGGGTTTTGGTGCAATTTGTCACATCCAAAATGGGTGCGCCACGAACACATCATATGGCCTTAATGGAATGATTTGACATAAGACTTTTATTAGGTTTAAAATGGGTGTCGTATTCTCGTCAACCTCATTAGTAATCTGTTTGAATAATTATTTAGTAAATAATAAACTATTCTTATATTTAAGAGTTATAAACTTTTCTATATATAATTTTATACAGTTCCGGACTTGGAAGAAATCGTTTTTGAGACGAGTGGAATTTTTACTGTTAAGAAATGATCCACCCAAATTGGTCTTCATCTAAACCAAAATCGAATCACGAAATAAAAAATCCAAACCGAATTTGAATCACATGATACAGTTCACGCCAATTTTCAGTTTTCTCGACTTAATCACATAACATTTACAGCTCTGTCAAACCCTAGTGATTGGGGTAACCTTTGTGTAAGATTGTGGAGGGACTCCAACATCCCACCTCGAGTTGAAAACACTTCATATTTTATTCACTATTTAAAAGGGAGTGCTTCACCATCCACAAAATGATATATGCAAACAATTAACCAAACTAAACAAATGATCCGGAATGAATAATATGAGAAGTACACAAACAAACAATTTCGACGCTATTCCATCTCTGCAGTTGAAGACCCAAGCTGCCCAGCAAATAATACAGTCCTTCCCTTCAAGAATCAACCTGACCAAAGAGCCACTTGCGTATCTGCAATAATACCAAAGTAACTAAGTTGAGAAGGAAGAAAGACATACAGACAGCCACGCAATCTAACGCCTCAGTACCAGGGATGGACCTAAGCGGAAGCGGGTGGGGTAATTGACCTCTTAAAAATCTAAAATTACTATATATTTTAGATTTTTTTTCTTTGTATTTGCTATTGAAAATTTGTTTTTGCCACTCTAAATTTTTATAAATTCAAATTCGCCCCAAAAATTTTGTAAGTTCAAGTTCGCCCCTTGTAAAACATAAAATCCTGCATTCGTCCCTGCTTAGTACTATTAATTTGCTTCTTCTAACCCATCTTGTAGAATTAGATGTGTAATGATGGATGAACCGAGGGGGGTTGACAAGGGAACCGTACCTGAAAATTCTAAATTCTCATATAATTTAGGTATTTTTTGTATAATAATCGGTTTTCGTCATCATAAAATTTTATAAATTCGTCCTTTAAAATAAAATCATGCATCCGTCCTTACGTGTAATTATCCAAAACATGGTAAAAACTAAGCTAAATGCATCTAAAGAAACTACCAACGCACCTCTGGAAGCTTTTTATTGAATGCAACATCCAATCGTGCATCCAAGGTGTTCTCACAAACAATCTTTCCATCTCGAGATGCCAGGACAACACCTCCAGAGCTGCAAACAAGAAGAAAAAAAAAGGGTCAGTATCATCATTTTTCTTTCATTTTTCGGGTAGAGGAAGGCAGAAGGGGTACATCCAGGGGATGGTGTTCGGATCATAAAACAGCAAAACCGCGTTGCCATTATTTCATACAATTAGTAGAACCATACTATGGAAAAGTTAATTACAACCTCAAGCCAACATCATCACAACCCTCACAGGTTGTAAACTATGAAGAGAAATGTTGGTCCAAAGAATAATGAGTCCTGCCAAATCATTGCATAACTGGTAACATGTAATCTTGCATTTTCGCAGAATTAATAATATATACCAAAAAGGAACATGAGCGTTGTGGTGAGAAGGTTCAGGGGGAAGATGGACATCGTCGATGAATATCTCCGGTGGATCAACATTAACTTTAGAAGCATATTCCCCTTTAGCTGAATCCAGTACAGACACCACTAAGTGCACATCATCTTTGCGACAACGCAGTAAGACAGCAGGTTCTTTCAGTCTGACCAAACTCTGGAATAAACAGCAACACTTTTAATATACGAGCGTAGATAAATATCATTCGATTCAAAACTCTTATTCAGTCTTGACATTCACTGACCTGAACAATGACATCTTTCAAAAGATTTTTGTACACACGGTGATCACGGCTCACATTCAGAAGTTCCTTGGATGCCGATTCTTTCATTTCATTAACCACATCATCTTGAGCCTGAAGGACCTTGATCCTAGATGCATTAAGCTGCATCGAATACTCACTGCAGCAAAAGAATCATGCATACTCTTATTCATAAAAGAATGTCTATATTAATTATACTAGAAGTGCTAATTCTACATCAAAACAGACTAAACACACTTTCCTATCTTTTATTATCATCCTGAAAGTCAAACTTTTTCAATTTTCTAGCTTCACCCCAATCGGATCACGGTTTGAGTTACGGGTGAACAAAACTCGACTCGATTAGAAAGACTATTTTGTTACTCGATTCGATTTGAAAAAACTCGATTTAAATTAACTTCAAGTTGTAATTTCATAAACTCGACTCGAAAAAATTTCAAGTTCAAGTAGAGTTATAAAATATAACTCGAATAACTCGAAATTTTTAGTAATTAGTGGATTGACTTTTAGTTTGAATCGAGTCCTCCAACTCTGTACGACACATATGAAGAATTATATATATGTATTGTATATGATTATAAAAAATTATTTAAATTAGAACCAAATAGTATCATAATATTAGAAATATTTACAATTAAATTCAAACAAAAAATCGAAAACTCAACTCGACTAGACTTGAAAAAATTTCAAATCAAGTTTGATTTATCTCATCCTAGTTTCAGGTTCCTAGTCAAACTAGTGTTAAAAAAACTATACAGATCCAGTGTGATAAAGCAATTTAACTATACAGATCCAGTATGATAGAGCAATTTAACTGACTAATGAAGTTTACTGCAGAAATTTAACCGACTAATGAAATTTTAGAGGAATCAGCTTACATCTTCTTTCGAACTTCGACTTGCTTCTCCTTCTTCTCGTACTCTTGCCTGATCTTCTTCTTCTCTGCCTCCACCAACTGGAGCTTCTCAATGTTAAATTCCTAAAATACATACCGATTAACCGTTAATTCACCGAAATTTCTAAACACGCAAACACAATAATTACAAGCCAGAGGTGGAGAAAGTGGGAAAATCAATGAAAATTGAAATACCTCTTCAGCTGAAACGGAGATCTCGTTAGCTCTCTCCTCCGCTTCTTGGCGGATGAAGCTCACCATTTGCTGGATCTGCTTGGATACATCTGAGTCGTTCATTTTCGCGGGGATCCTGATTTGATTGTTGATGATCTGATCGTAAACAGATGATAGAAGATTTTTTTTTATCTGATTTTGGATCCAAAGAAGAAGAAACCTAAAAGCGGGCAGTGTTCCAGATGTGTCTGACCAAGAGCTGCTTTATTTATTTAAAATTAAATGAAAAAGAATCCAATTTATTCGGCAATCACTTTGGCTATCGTCTATTGCCCAGGGGATATTCGGGTTTAACTTAATTAAACCAACAAAACATGTTTTAAGTGATCTTATAACATTGACAATAATACTAAAATCTTACAATACCATAAATAACCAATAACATATAATAAAGTATCATTGTTTTTCAGTTTCAAGCATGATTTTTAGAACTGTACCGGTTAACGACCCGATCATGTTATCGATTTATTGGTTTAATCGGTCGAACCGGACGACGTCATAATTATTTAAAAAATTAAATAAAAATACAAAAAATATTTAATAAAAAATAAATTTTTTATATCACAAGTCATATTCAAAGCAAGTCATAACATATATAAGTTAAAAATCATAAAATCAAGTGAAACAAAATGATTCAAATTAACTACAACATAATATTTAAGGTAAAACATATTAAATAATAAATATAATTATATAACTATAATTAAAAAATAAATTTGGGGTTAAAAAAATCATAACAAAATGATATTGTTTAGTTTAATTTTAAAAAAAAACAATCTCACATGACTAAGAAACATAGAAGAACATCCCAAAAATCTAAATAGTAAAAATATGAGAACAAAACAATCTCACATTACTAAGAAACATAGAAGAGCATCCCAACTAACTTCTATAAATAATAGAGGTAATTTGACATTTAAAATCATGGAGCCTTTTGATGAGCATTGAGTGAACTATTCTTTCACTTCAATCAAACTCGAATTTTAGGCTTCAATCGAGCTTCTAAATTTTTGTTTAGTTCAAGCCTTTTTGAGTTCAAGTTTCAATATTATATTTCGAGTTTGAGTTGAACTTGATAATTTTTAGCTTGTGAGTTTGAGTCGAGTTGAGCTTACTTTTAAAGTTTTCAAGTTTGAGTCGAGCTCAGCAATACTCGAGTTCGACTTGGCTCGTTTAACAAACGACATTGTTTGGTTTAATTTTTTTTAAAAAAAAACAAAATTTCTGATTTTTTCCGGTTTTCAACCGGTCCGGTTCGAACGGTTCAACGGTTCTGGCCTGTTCACTAGTAGCGATTCAACCGATTTAGATTGAACCGGACTAACACACGGTTCCCGATTAAACCGATTGAACCAACCGATCCGATCCGATTTTCAAAACAATGGTTTCAAGAAGATCATCGATCAACAGAATCATTAAATAATATATTAATATATATTCTATCTTTTTATTTAAACCATCTGCATTAAACATGTCACGAAACAATTACACTTAATTTGTATTTAATTTTATTTTCTCTTTATAATAAAATCCTTTATTTTTGTAATACCACTTTTTATCTAACTTTATAATCGATGCTCTACTTTTTTTAATCTTAATTTTTATCTTTATAAATGAGGCCCTTAATTTTTTTTCAATCCCATTTTTAAATTTTTTAATTTAAACTCCTAATCTTGTCATTTTTCTAATATTTATTAATGTAATATTAAATTAATTGTTTAAAGTAGTTAAATATATTTTTATTTTGTAAAGGTCTATTTTTTAGTTTCATTCAGAATCTTGAAAATATCCGAAATGATTCGGAGTATATCTAACACTATTTTTATAATATATTTTATTATAAGAGATATTTAATTATATCAAGCACGAACCAATTTATCTCAATAGTTGAAGGAATTGTTGTTGTTCTTAGAGGTCACGAGTTTAAACATCAACGACTGCAAAATGATGATTGAGCGATTAATTTCAAATTTTTGAAGTATTTAAAATAAATATTAATTTATAATCATTTAACTTAATAACAAATTATATGACTCTTAGAATCGTATACATTGTTATTGCTATTAGAGTTTCTATGAGTTTTATATAATAACCGACGCCCACGCTTACGTAGGTCTATCCTGACAAATTGTCAATCGTGAATAATATCGTTACACGTGGTATGTATGGTATAGTAATAGATACTAATAAATGCAATAAAAAACTGATGTAACCCTCATACTTAAAAAAAATAATAATGTGGCCCTCCATATATTTTTGCATCTAATATAACTCTCTCAGTCATAAAAAAAATTCAATGTGATCCTTTGATCAATATTTTTTATCTTTGACTAATGGTTCTATTATTTTATGTTGTCGTGGCACGTTAAGCAGGCTAACATCATATTTTTTCTCAATCTGACCCTCAAACTCAATAAAATAATTCAATTTGGCCCTCATATTTCTCTCTCTTCTATTTTGGTTAATAAACTTTAAAAGTTTTCAAGTTAATCACTCAACTTTTGAATTGCTTTTGTTTTAATCATCATGATTTATTTTATTAATATTTATGTATAATGTGAAATTTATTATTCATATTTTATTAATATTTGATTAAAATAATATTAATTACATAAAAAAATTAAAATTATATTGAAACAAAAAAAATATTCCAAAATTATAATTAAATTGAAAAATATTCCCTCTGCTTTATATATTTTCAGATCTCCACTCACATCTTTTATCATCTCATTTCATTTTTCTTCCCTTTCAACCAAAGATTTTTTTTCTTTCATTACCTGATCAAGTAGTCTACAAGTTTTTTTATTTTTTATAAGTTCAATATGGGTTCGTTGAATCTGATAATGAAATAAAAAACAAATCTTGATTGAAAAGAAAAATGTCACATCATACATAAATATTAATAAAATAAATCATGATGATTAAATCAAAAACTTTAAAGTTTAGTGACCAAAATAAAAGAGAAGAAAATAGGAGGGCCAGATTGAGAGAAAAAAATAGGATGTTGGTCTTCTTAATGTGCCACATCAGCACAAAATAACGGAATCGTTGGTCAAAAGACTACATTAATTTTTTTTTACTTGGAAGGCCACATTATTATTTTTTTTAAATACGAGATCTTTAGATACTCTTTTGTCTAAAAAAATATATAAAACACATCATGATATGATAAAAATATAAATTTATTTAAACATGCATTGATATAATTTATTGGTAAACTACACATATCGTGTCTCAATTATCACTTTTTTCCATTATCGTCATCAAATAATTTTTTGTTTCAAAATCATACTTAACGTTATATTTTAGTTTCATTTTGATCATCTATCATTATAAATTAGTGGTGGTGTGTATATGTTATCATTAGATAATATTACATAATTACTGGTTTTTTTAAATACTATGTTAGCAATTCTTTTTTTTTTAATATTGAGTGACCAAAATGAAACTAAAATATAACATTAGATATAATTTAAAAATAGTTGAACTACTAAAACAGAATAAATACGATGGTTAAAGTAATAAAAGTGTAATTTACCTTAGTTTAAATGCAATAGTAATATATGAATACGGATCACATGATACCATGGTATAAGTTTATCGTTTCTAATGAAATACATAAAATTGAGATGGAATTGTCACGGACCGCCGGCCCATGGCCGCACGAACTTGCTAGCAGTAGTCTAACCCCGTGACAGAATGCATAAGACAACGACAAGTTGTGATAAAAAAGAGATTTTCTTCTATTAAAATAAAACACAGAGGGACACTGGGACAGATCCTCATTTGTCCTTTTGGGCAATAAATACACGTTGGACAAATAATATTAAAAGTAGGGTGAATTACATAATTAGTCATCTATATATTTTTATAATTCTATTTTGATAATTTAGCTATTTTTTTAAAATCATATCTAATTTTATGTTGGTCATCCGTTGCTAAAAAATATCAGTGATATTGACGTATTATCATTAGATAATATCATGTCATCATTGATTTTCTAAAAAATTGCATCGTCAACAGTTATGTTTATATTTTAATGTGAAATATCAAAACAAAATTATAACATAATGTTAAGTATGATTTTAAAAAAAATAGTTAAATGATTACAATAAAATCACATGAATTGGTAGGTAATTAAATATGTAATTTATCTTAAAGTTATTATTTTAAAAAAATATTAAATATTATTTTTTAAATTATAAAATAATCATTTAAAAATAATGTAGGGTAAAGTACATAAATTGTCCATCGACTATAGAGTGATGTTTTGTTGAGTCCACTGACTATTAAAAGTTAGAAAATTGTCATCCGTCTATTTACATATTCTAAATGTATCATTTTCAATTAAAAAATTGACGATAGTATGAGTCGAATATTAACATGCTAACCAAGATAATAAAATATAATCTCAAAGTCTCAAAAGACTATCATATCTCAGTGAGTATGTTAACGTTAAACTCAAACTATCGTAAATTTTTTTACGGAAAAGGATGTGTTCGGAACATATGAATAGTTGGATGATTATTTTATAACTTTTAATAATCGATTGACTCAACAAAACAATGTCTTATAATTAAAAGATTATTTTGTAAATTATAATTATCGAATAGACGATTTATGTATTTTGCCCTATAATTTAATACGTGGGGTTTCCCCTGTAATTTAATACCATGTGGGGTTTCCCTCTTTTTCGTCCCTTTGCGGCTTTGCCTCGTAAAACACACGCACGCACACGCAACACACAAAAGTTATTAAATCTCATCTTTATCCGTCTCTCTATTGCTTGTGTTTACATTTAATGCCTCGTTTCAGATAATAACCTATTGTTCATGTCTTTTACTTCAATTCTCACCCAACCGGCCACCCTCTAATTTTCCATTTTGTTGGGTTTCCACGCCCATTTTCAATTGTTTTTGCCAAATTCCAATGATGTAAACTAAAGACAACTCCTCTGAGTCGGGTTTTCATGGAGTTTTAAGCCGGAAAGTGTACTACTTATCATGGACTTCACGGGCGGAACAATGCTCTCCAATGGTCATTCTTCGGCGAGTTTCAACAAGTTCAACTCTGCCCGTACGGCGGGTCTCTTAAACCCGATGTCCCCTCCGCCTCCGGCCGACAAGATACGGTCCAGTCCCACCCTTTTCGAAATGAT